CATCACAGATGGTCTCCCGGAGCCCTTTGCACACACTCTCCTTGGCGCATGCCATCAGCCAGGTGCCCATAGAAATCACGCATCCTATTCTCATTTCCTCCGGAGATGCTGCACGACTCAGTCATGCAAACAGCCCCTCTACTTAGCACGTGTGGGCCTAGCCTTTGTTCTCACTTTTTCCTCTAACGGAATGGCCTGTCCTGGCCACAAGGGGCCTGCCCCAAGTTTTAGCCACATGGTACAATCAATCCAGCATCAGCACTGCTATTTTAGGGGCCGGGGAGATGGCTCAGTAGAATAAGCGCTTCCCTGGCAAGCACAAGGGCCTGAGTTCAATCCCTGGTTCTAAAAAAAAAAAAAAAAAAAAAAGAACACTGCTACTTTTCAGATACCCTTTGCTCGAAGAGAGTATTCCTCTCCCTCCTGTAATATACTGTTTGAGTCTCTCTCAACAGTAGATGTGCCGGGCGCCCGTCTGCCTCCTTGGCCCACCATCTGCGCACCCCTCCCTCAGCGGGTAGGTGCCTGGTCTCACGAGCACAGGATCTGCTGGTAGTCTGTGTTTCCAGAACAGGTCCAGTCTGGTCTGCTGCTAGGCTCCGGACTGGTTGGAATTGGCAAAGGCTTCCCTGTGGCCGATCCGAAGTGCATGCTTCTAACAGCAGTGTGAGAGCAACCAGCTGTTCTCAAGGGCATTTTTAAAAAGGATGGTTCTTTAATGAGGTCCTTGCTGCTTTGAACCCTTCTGGTGTTTATATTTTATAGGTATCGATCTTTGTGGTTGTAAAAATAATGCATGATTATTTTAAGAATGGAGCGTTGCAGAAACACGTGGCTTAGAGAGGACTAGCGCTCCTGCCTAGATTCTTTCTTCTTGCTTTCTCCTCGTACTGGGTCTTCTATCCCCAAAGAGGGCCAATGACCCAGCCCCTGCCGGACAGTAATGCCCTCTTGTTCCATACCTGCTGGGGGCAGTGTTCGCTATGGCTTGACTTTAGCGGGCGAGCTGGGCAAGCAGCATGTGCGGGGCTGGCAGCTGCAGAGCCCTGAGACGTGGTGCTGTGCAGTGGAGAAAGCAGGCACTGCTATTTAGGGTCTAAGCGACCTGGGGCTGGCCCTGCTGGTCACCTGTGCAGGGGACAAAGACCAAGTGCACCTGTTGCAGAGTAAGATTAAGATCGAAGAGAGAGACTACAGATTGGAAGGAACACACTGAATTCTATGGATTATCATTTGGTTCGAAAAATTATTGCCACCAAATAGCACCCTTGGGGTTCTGAGCCAGTTGACTCAAGAATCATTCATACACGCATGCACGCACGCACGCAGACGCAGTGATGGTTGCTGCCACCACCTTCACCATTTGCAGGTAGACGCTGGGATGTGTGCATCTGTCACTCACCCAGGAGCACGAATTCCCAGAGTTGGCACACTTGTCCAGGCCCCCAGACCCACAGCAAGAGCAGAGAGCCTCTGTGTGGCCGTGTCTCCAGTCTCTCCACATCCTTGAATTTGCAGCGTGGCCCGAGGGGCTCTACAGCCAGTCTCTGAGCAGCACTGTGACTTCCCCTCAGAGATGGCCCCATCTTGTCCACGTGTAACAAGAACCCTGATATCGCCTGGCCTCTCTACTGCATTGCTTCCTCTGCTGGGGGAGAAAGCCTTTCTTTGGGGGTTTTAAGGAGTTGGGGAGGGACACTGTGGAAAGGAAGTAACAATGACAGGTAAAGACAGGGTGAGGTGTCCACCTGAAATGAAGGCTGAGAGCATTCATGCAAAGAACCGGCCTTTTCCTCAGCTCTGTATGGCCACATCTCCAGTCTCTCCACATCCTTGAATTTGCTCTCCCAGGCCCAAGCCGTGGAACTGGCCAGGCAACTCGCACCTCCTCTGCCTCACTCAGTCTGTGCTGCTGCTCTTGGTGCTGATGCCCTGAAGGAGCCAGGCAGGGAAGGAAGCCTTGGGGAGAGCGTGGCCAGGAGGGCTCCTGTGGGTCTGAGGGACACCAGAGGGCCATGGCTATCCTGTGGCCCTAGACTGCGCGTGGGACTCTGTCCTCGCTCTGACCCTGTACAAGTGGGAGAGGGGAGTTCCCAGGAATGGGGGTGCTGCCTGCCGTACTTCCTCCTTTGGGAGGCTTTGCTGCCTGACTGCCTGGTTCTTCTCCAGCCTCTCCCGCCGTCATCCTGGGGTTTCCCTGCCCCACAGATGCAGGGGCCTTACTGGGTGAGAGGTCAGCTCCTGAGTTCCAGTCCCAGCTCTGCCTCCTCTGTGACACTGGTAATGAGTTAGATAACCTCATTATCTAACTTGGTTTCCCCATGTAAAAATTGTCATAATAATAATCGGGGAGATTTAATGAGTTCAGAGACAGAAGAGGCTGTGCCCAGCCCTTTTGAGTGTATCCTGCATGTTAGCTGCCATACTTTTATTGTCCTATTGAGCAGTCCCTCATGGTACCCGCCCTGCACACAGGCATGCACGGGGACAGTTTAGTCCCCGGTCCCTCTCCATTTTCAGAGAGCTTGCATTCACTCTGAGGGATCCAGCCATTACTATGGGCCCGGGGGCCACAATTTTCATATCCCAATATTTTTTATCATAATAAGAGAAGCATGCACATGAAATCAAACTTGGAAAATATCCAAAAGAGGATAAGGGAGAAATTGTGAAAGTGACCGGTAGTTAACCCTGTGGTGAGTACCACTGATAATTTTCGTGTGCGGTCTTCCTGGCTTGTGGATGCGTAAGTGTGAGTGTAACAACCTGTGGAGCCTCAATTTTGTTTAAAAAGGAAAACAGCCCATGACAATATTGTTCATATTTTGCTTGTCACCAGTTAGTCTAGTATGGACATTTTCTGATGTCCTTAAATATTCTTTGGAAATATCCACATTTCTGTCTTTAGATAGAACTCTCTCTTCCAGGCTTCACACCTGCATATGTGAAGGCCTACAGGGGCTTCCTGTATGGTGCTTCAGAGTCTCAGGCCTCATGTGGCCTCAGCCAAGCTCTGGGGCCCATCAGCTGCCTCTTCTGCCTCCTCTGTCTCTCTAGCCTCTTCCCCAAGTCTGCTTGTGCCCTCTCCCATGCAGCCCTCTGCCACCAGCATCTCTGTCCTCACCCCAGGCTCTGGCTTCCCTTCTGTCACTTCATTGGTGTCAGTCTGTGCACAGTCTCCAGCCCCTGGCTATGTGTCCTCCTCTCCCCGTCTCATCACCACAGTTCTAGCTCCTGCCCTGATTCCCTCATGCCTTGACTCTGGTATGGGCACCAACATTCTTCCACATGTAGTCTGTATTTATTTTATCTTTTTGAGACAGGGCCTCGCTCTGCAGCTCAGGCTGCCCTTGAGCTCTCTTTGTAGCTCAAGCTGGTCTGGAATGCGCAATGATCCTCCTGCCTCAGCCTCCTGAAAGCTAGGACTAGAGGTGTGTGCCACCACATGCAGCCTGTATTGATTTTAGAAAATGAGCCCAAACCTTCCGCTGACTTTTCTTTATTTCTGATCTCTCCGGCTCCAACCTGTCCCATCCTGCACACTCCTGCCAGGGCCCTCTGCCTGCCATGTACCCCATGCCGCTCCACACCATATGGTACCTCCTACCCTGCAGCCTGTCTGATGCGTCACAGGTGCTTCCATTTGGCCCATCTAGCACACACACATCCTTCCTGCTTGGGCCCGTCCCCTGGGGTCCGCAGACTACACTCCAGCCATGCTGTAGCCCGAGGGTGCGCCTGTCTCAGCAGCTAGCTCAGGCTGTTCCCCTCTGTCCCTTGGAGGAGGGAATTCTACCATCCAGAAGGCCCAACTCTAGTGTTTATGCTTCCTTGCAAGTTTCCCCATTGTCCCCAGATACTTCTCCCCATCTGTGAACCCTGTATTTGGGCGTGTCCTGCCCTTGAGTACTTTGCCAGTCAGTTACTGGTGCGCTCCCTTTGTATTGGCAGTGAGACAGAGCTTGAGTCCCATGTTGACGATGTGCTAGTTGTAGGGCCTTGGGCAAGTCATTACCACTCTGATATTCAACTTTCTTGCCTGTCAAGTGGGACCTAATACTGTACCATGACTTGGGTTTCGTCTCTACAAGGATTTAAGATCGGCACATCAAGATTTAACAGTTTCTGGAATATGAGCACTAGAAAAGCATCCGTTGTCATGGTAGTACCTACTTATAATCCTAGAACTCTGGGAGGTCAAGGTGGAAAGACTGCCAAGTTCAAACCCAAGCTTAGTATCTTAGTGAGGTCCTGTCTCCAGATAAATGAGGGGGCTGGGGTTGTAGCCCAGTGTGAAGGCTCTGGGTTCAATCCTCAGTTCCACAAAAATAAGAAGCAAAGCCCCAGCAGTTATAATAATTCATGTTCAGCCCTACTCTTTGGGGCCACCCCCAGATGCCTGCTCTCAGATGGTGCCAAGGCTCTTTGAGTCCAGGGGAGCAGACCTGAACCCAGGCCTCTGCTCATCAACCTGGTTGGAGGTGAAGAGCACTGGTCCTGGTTCCCTGTGAGCTGAAGAAAGTCTCACTGCCTTGGCTTTGATAGCTGAGCTCTCCTGTTATCTCGTCCTCTGCATTCAAGCCTGTGGTGCCCCCTTTCATGTTGTTTGTTGGCTGGCTTGACAGGGGCCACATCCTGAATAGAGCTAGAAGGTTTCTTTGGAGCTGACCCAGCCAGTGCCCAAGTCTTCAAAGAAGATGGGACTGAGGGTAAATCCAGTGAGGCCCAGGTAGTAGCTGGGAAAGAGACTTTCCTAATCTTCAAGGAAAGTCTTGGTGGCTGCCGGGTTGGCTGATCAGGGAAACTCACTAGCCTGTATAAACAGGGAATGGGAAAGCTGCAAAGAGGCCTGGCCATGTTCCTCCCTTAGGTGTCTGCAGGACTGAAGCGAAGTTGGCCTAGAGGTTGAGCTACCACCTCCCTTTTTCCCAAACCAGTGAGGAGTGTCTGGTCACCACCACCTGCCCCAATTACCGCCCTTCCTGCTTTTTCTCTTGCAGCCAGGCGACACTCGAGAGTCCGGCCCAGGATGACACTCCTGAACTATGCTTCCCCGCTGGCCACGGCTAGCCAGCCGCTGAATGAGATGGCTCTGACCCCCCTGACGGAGCAGGAGGGGGAGGCCTACCTGGAGAAGTGTGGCAGCGTCCGGAGGCACACAGTGGCCAACGCCCACTCGGACATCCAGCTGTTGGCCATGGCCACCATGATGCACTCGGGCTTAGGGGAGGAGGCTGGCAGCGAGGACAAGTGCCTGCCCCTGCCACCCAGCTTCCCACCAGCTCACCGGCAGTGCTCCAGCGAGCCCAACATCACCGACAGCCCTGATGAACTGGAGGAGGTGGCAGGGGACAGCCCGGCGGACACAGAGCTGAACTGTGCTTCCCTCAGCTGAGTCACCGCCACGGGACTTCCCAGCTCCTGCTTTGCAGCCAGGTCAAGGGCAGCTGACCCCAGAAACCTCCCTTCCTGTGGGCACTGCTGCTGCATTTCTTTTAGGGTACTAGCCTGGTCTCGGTGCCCTGCAGGGAAACTTGTAAAACACCTTCCTTTGGCTAGCATTTCACAGCCACACTGACTCAGCTGCCCACAGCAGTTCCCCTTCTGACCCCCACCCCCAGCCTGGGGCAGCTCACCTGGATCTTCATCTCCATGCCTTGATTTCCTGATACTGGATGGCGATCAGTGCTCCCAGGGGGCCATTCCAGTGCTCTGAGAGTTAAGGTGGCGAGGGTCGTCTAGATCATACATAAAGCCATCAGGAATGTGTTGGCCTCTGTCTCTCCCCCTTCAGGCTCCTTTAACACACAGGCTTATGGGTACAGAGTAGTAGAGAGCTGTGTGCAGAGCAGAAGCCATTTGCATCCTCTGCGGAGTGTGGCCCAGGGAACATACCCTCTTTGCCTGAGTTTCCAGGTTCCTGGAATGACCCTGCCCTGTGGTGAGTGTGCCTCCATCATCAGCTACGTCCACAGACATGAAGGCCTTTGGCTTTTGGCCCAGGCCAGCCGGAGACTGGAGCAGCCCCAGCAGTCATTAGGCCTAAGCCTTGTTCTCAGGCTGATTCCCGAGCTAAGGCGCTAACCAACTGCATAGTCGCTGGGGCCTTCATCCCCCTTGTGGTCCAGCAATGGCCGCCTTTCTACTGCGGGTGTGAGGGACTGGGTGATAGCAACTAATCAGTCTGTGTTTAGATTTGACTTGAATTTTTAAAATGTGTTGTTTCAAAAATTGTTTATGGATATTTGCACATAGGAAATTACACTGTTCATTTCCAGTGGGCTGTGTCTTCGAACTAAAACTCCACACACTAGCTTTTTTTCTTTTCTTTATTTATTTTTTTTTGGTGTGGTACTGGGGATTGAACTCAGGACCCTGTGCTTGCCAGGCAAGCACTTAATTCCACTGAGCCATCTCCCTGGCTCTTAAAACTCCACACTAAAAAATCGTGCAGAACCCTGAGAAAGGAGACTGGGGTGACTCAAAATAAAATGATGGATAGAGGGCAGGGCTCTGTGCCACAGCGCTCTGAAAGCAGTTGGTACCAAATCCCAAGTGGTCCCTGTGTGTGGCGGTCCTGATCTAGGAAGAGTGCTTTGGATGGGGACTCTGAGCAGAAGGAACGTCAGTGTCTGTCGCTGGGGCAGGTGGCGGAGATGTGGGCAAGATCTCTTTGAGAGACCTTTATTTTTGTGATTACAGCAGTGTGTAGGGACTCGCTGGTCTCTTGGTGTGCCCCTGGGGAGAAACAATGGGAGGAATGAGGAAAAGACAGACAAGAGGAGGGCTGGATCAGATGGAGGCCTGTTTGCTTGATTGGCAAAGGACCAAAGAACAACAGTAGGGGCCTTTATACCTTTGCAAAGTGAGTATCACGTGACACAAGGTTGCCTGGCGACTACTAGCTCACATTGTCCAGGAGGGAAGCCTTTCTCACTGAGGCCTGGTTCTGCCCTCACATATTTGACCAACTTCCAGCTTTGGTGGCTCCCAACAGCAGTGTACCCAGGAGTGGCCAGAATTTCCCACGTGCCCGGGCTCAAGTGCTATTTGCAGCAGCAGACTCTGAGCTGTGCTGTGTCCTTTCTACCTCTTTCTCCAGATGTTGGGGCATTTGGTCACCTTGAGTTCCTGTCCTCTTTGTCCTCATCGGTTGGCCCTACTAATAGCAGTGCAGGATTAAAAATAGACTTTTCTGGTGGCTTTTTGGGGTGCAGTTTGTGTACAAAATTGCAAAGTAGTCACCACAGTGGCTCCCAATATGGCAAGAGCGGACTGGGAGAGGAGGAGGGTGCATTTGAGTCACCAGCAGGAGATGACACCGTCCAATCTCATCAGAGGTTTGATAGTGTGTCCTTTTGGAGTGAAGATCTGAAATATGACTAGAATTGTGGTTCTGATGGCTGCCCACTTGGACATTGTTTAGAAAGTTGTTTTAGGGCCAGCCAAATAGCTCAGCGGATTAAAGCACCTGCAAGCAGGCTCAGGGCCAGGGGTTTGATCCCCAGGCTTGCCATGCTGGCCCCGCCCCCCGGGGGCGCTGAGATGGCAATTGAGACTGGGCGTGGTGGCGTGTGCCTGTAATCCCAGCTCTTGGGAGGCTGTAAACAGGTGGATCACTATGAGTCCGATCTAGTAGTGAGACCCTGAACGCCCTGTAGAACATTCCCTAAGAAAAATATGAAAAAATAATTGTTTGCTTTGTCCAGGAAATTAAGACGTGTCCAAAGGAGATCTGAGAGATTCATACACACACACACACACACACACACACACACACACACACACACACACTCTTTCTGTGCACGTCTTGTATGAAGTCTACAAAAGACTGACATGTTAGCAAATGGAACACCAATAGGTGACAGTGTCATGGTTTACATAACTCCTGGCTTTGGTCTTATTCATGCACTTAGCACACGCTTGGGACTGCTATTTATTGATCAGGCAAAGTAATGAATCATGCTGGGGTTGTTTATTTAGTTTATGAGATTGATGTGTATTTTTTAAAAATGCCTTTTCTGTACCTTTGATGAGATCAGCCATCAGATGAGTAACTCCAGGTGAGAACCGGAGTGTCAGAACAGACAGTGCTACTGTTAGCCATGTTACAGCTGTACCTTTGTCCACACCTGGTAGCAGTACAGTAAGTATTTGAAGCTCTACACACAACATTTTGTGATTGTGAGCATCTTGGCCATCAGACCTATTGTAAGAATGGCACTTTTAAGCATTTTTATCCACTTTTCTTCTGAGCATGAAGATTTGTTTTTACTATTTCTGCACTGATTTCCCATGGCTGAAGTTCAGTGACAGGAAGCCCTCAAGAGTCAGCTTTGCGTGCACTTACAAACCCCAGCCTTTCACCCACGTGGACTGTTTCCAAAACAGATCTGCTGAACACCATGTTGCATGTGTTACTCTGTTGCTGTGCTGGGTGCCTCAAGTGTGTCCAGACTGAATTTTCAAGCACAGCAATCAAATGAAGGTTTTGTGCATCCGGGTCCCATCCCCCACTGCTCTTGCTTTTCCTGCTACCTCAGCCCCTTTCCTGCAGTCAATTCTCAGGCTAGGCGGTGGCTGTACCTCAGTCTCTTCTGGGTTTTCTTCACCATCCTGGACTGGATAGGTGAACCATTTTCTAGAGGAACAAACTGTCTATGGGGTTTAGAAAATACTGAAGAGTACCTGGCAAGCAAGGCCCCTTTGAAAACAAGGGTCTCTTTCCAGAGCATTTGACCCAGGTGGACACTAAGTGTGTTTACGCTGGGTCTCTGCCTCCATATAGATGGACAGAGGGAGTCTACATCTCACCCTCTGCATAAATACTCCCAGGAGGGAGGCCAAGTTCTCTGAAGACTTAGTAAGATCACTGCTTTTGGGAGGTCTGACATGAATTGCTTAATGGTCTGGTCTGCTGCGCCTCCTCAGGCTGTCACTAAGGTTAGCAGCCCCTCAGCAGGTGGCCTCGGGAGGTCTCCAATCGCTGGGGCCTCCACGGCAATAGCACAGCCACTCATCCACCCGGTAGTGTGGAGCTTTCACTGCGATTCTTCCCTTTTCAGCAAGGTGCCAACTGCCTTAGAGCCCATTGTCCAGTGGGGGAAGGCTAGAAATCTGATCATATTAGCATTTTAAATAACATAATGGATAGTAAAGAGCCAATGAGTGGAGGTGACAAGGTACAGTGGCTGCGAGAGGACCCTCTTGGAATTAACTTGAGCTGAGACCTGAATGACAAGAGGGACCCAGGCCTGCAATCTGCCTTCAGTTCCTGTCACTGCCACAACAAGCCCTTGTCACTTCAGATAGCATACATTTTAGTCACTGTGCCACTTAAGACAACACACATCTGGTATCTTACAGTCTGATGTGGGTCTTACCGGGCCTCTAAAAAGGAAGGCATTTTCAGGGTCATGTTGCGCCGAAGGATGACGCTCCCTTCTCTTCACCAGTTGCTCCAGGTCATCCACATTCCTTGGCTTATGGCTTCTTTCACCACTTTCAAAGCCAGCAGTGAATGAATGGCAGGTTGAGTCCCTCTTATGTCACCCCAACTAACTCAGTTACTTCTTACTTGTTTCTGGGACAAAATAACCGACACCCAAAATTAAGGAAGGGAAGGTTTATTTAGCTCACAGTTAGTAGAGGTTTCAGTCCATATTCAGCTGGCTCCAAGGCAGAGTGGCACATTGCAGAGGGCAGCCATTCCTGGCTACAAAAAACAGTTATTGAAGGGAGGGGCAGCAGCTTCCACTTCTAGCAAGCCTTTCTCCCCTCCTTATAAGCAGGCTACTCTGGGGTCGGGGTATAGAACTCACACAATGCCCATGCCCTCCTCTTGCACAGGATGTTTACAAAGTAAGAACCGTGGCGCTGTGTGCACTTGATTAAACTTCTAAACTTCTCAAATTGACACAGTCTATCAACCAGTACACCAACCTACATTTGGTTTCTCTCTCGAGTTTTAAAAGCCTTTGGAATTACATCAGGCCCCCTGGATGAACTCTACAGCCTCGCATCTCCAGGCCTTTAATGTAATCACATTTATGAAGTCCCCTTTGCCTTGTAATATTCACAGGCTCTGGGGATTAGGATAGGGCTGTCTTGGGGGTGGTGCTTGGTTTTTGTTCTTCCTACCATTAGGTCCTCAGGTTTTGCTTCCGTTGCTGTTTGACTACTCTTTTGTGGGAAGAAAGATCCTGAGAGATCACTGTGGCCTACTCAGGAAGCTCCTTGTACACATCATTTGTAAAGTCTCATTTCGGTGAAAACATGTTTTGGAGAAAATGACAGTAGGAAAACAATGGGCAAAAAAAGCCTTCCTAAGGGTTCACTCGACAGTTGGTTGAGTGCTTCTGGAAGTCTTGAGATGCCCTGTGTCCCTGGCCTTCTGGCCAGACACCTCCAGTGTCCTTGGACATTCTCCTGCAGGTCTTCCTTGTCTCCCCAGCAGAACTCAAGATCTATGTGTACAGCCTTCACTGTCCTCCTGCTCAGGCAGTGGAAAGGCCAGCCATGGGATCTGCCAGGGGTTCAGGCAGGCAGAACTGCAGTTTGTGGGCACTGGTTTCAGCCTCCAGGGCAGACTGAGGCTTTTAAAGCCTGAGCCCTTCCCTCCAAGGCCTGGACCCCATGGTGGCCAGGATTCCAGCCTCTGCCTTGAGTCACTCATCCTGTCTGACATGCCTGTCAGGCCTCAGCTTCCCGTGTCTAGGCTTCCACAACTCAGTATTTCTAAATTTGTCTCCATATGCCATTTCCCCCTTGTAGATGTTTCTAAAATGCAACTCCTGCTTTAAAACTTGCCCTGACGGCCCATAAAATCCACATGCCCAACTAATCAGGACTTCAAGGTCCTCACCAAGCTGGCCTCAGTCAACTTCTGGCCTCGTGGGCTGTCATCAGTCCTGTTCATTGTTCTGTCTTCACACTCCCCTGCCTGCTCCCACTATGCCTTCTCCTGGGGGTCCTTCTGCTTCACCTCCTTCCTGTACACATTCCCAGGTGAAGACAAGGATGTGGGATTTATACCTGCAGGCCTTGGGTCTCACAAGCCAGAGCAGTTGTGCAGGAAGGAATCATTCCCATCTCCACACCTTCCCTCCCAGGTCACTCCTCCTCCTCCTCCTCTCTCCCTGAGCAGGAATCTTGCCCATCATGCCTGTTACAAACAAGTCTACAGAAGGCTAAGAGATCCTGTAAACATGGATGGCTCAAGATCTGAACCCTCCAGCTCCAGTCAGCAGCTGCTTCCTGGCTACTTTCCTACAGAGAATGAACCCAGTTCATGGAGCTGCTGTTTGGTTCTGGAGCCAGCGGTCTTTCTTGGCCTACCCCCTGTGTGTTATAGAGCCATCTCTTTGGAGAGGTCTTGTTGCCAAGCCATAGGAAAGAGTCCCAAGCCAGCCTGCTGAGGCTGGGTCGTTGTTGCACTCATTCTCCTCTCTAGGGAAGACTCCAGCTCTATTACCCCATTATGTGAGCACTCTCTGACCATCAGGAGCAAGCTGAGGCTGGGGTCCTCAAGGCATGGAGCTGGGCGGGATGTGGCCTTAGGCTCTTCAGGTCCAGCTGCGCTATTCGAGTTGTCCTGGCTTGATAGAAACTGAGGAAGGAGAATAGCTAAGCCAAGGGGAAACCTCCTCAGCCTGCTACGGGGAGAGCCAGGGTTCCAGAGATTCCAGAATCACTGAGGACCAGAGATGTGCCTCCTGTTCTTCTCCAGCTGCTTCCAGAGAGTTCATGGGATACGGAGATTCTGGTGTCTTAGACAAATGCCTCAGGTAGGAAAAGATTTCAGTGGATGTTTTAATATTAACTCTATATGTGGCTTTAAAATAATATTTTAAGTTTAATAAATTACTCATCATTTGATACAGACACAATAATTTTCCCTTACAATCAATATTCAAAATTCAAATTTGTTTTTTTAGGTTTTTAAGTTCGGCTCACAAATTTTATTAGTCTATTTATAAGGCTAGCAGGTTTTAGCAGTAACTTCAGAGGAGTCTTTGAATACCACTTGGTCCTATTTATAAGTTCAGTATTTCAATCACTTAAATGAAATTACAAATTTAGTATATTCATTTCTTTTTAAAATACTTAATTTTTCTGACAGTAAAATTATCTTAAAACCTAAGTAATTATAGAAGAAATAAATTAAGGTTATAAATAAGGGAAACCTGAAATTCTGATTTTATATTCTCCTTAAATTTAGATGTCACCATAAAAGTTCACAAGCCTAAAATAATTCTCTGTTACACATTTTAAAGTGGAGTTCTAAAAATGTCACTTTAATAAGCTTTAATCTCTTAAACATCGCACATGTCTAAACCACCAACTATGTACAAATTCCTCCCTAACATAAAAATATTAGTGTTTTTGTTTTGTTTCTTTTGAATTTCCTACACTTACACCTCCCTGGGGGTAGGCCTGGCACGCTGTTATCTCAGACGCAAGCTCTGGCTTGTGCAGCTGCGGTTG